GCAAAATTCCCTATTATAGAACGGCTCCCGAAGTTTGCCAAGCTAACTCAACAATATCGATGAAACAAATCGAACGAAGGAGTGGAATGCATTTCTGGAGGTCACAGTGTTTGTGGTTAGGATGTAGGTGGTGTGTTGTGTCATTGTGTTTGCTGAGTGAGGACACTGGTGCAGTGCTTAGTCATCAAATGCGCTTTTTCGTACGATGATCCAGTAATGAATATTGATTGCTGTTTGGGTGAGAGGTCTCTGTGCTCGCGATCTCATTTGCTCCAAACGCAAACAGCAGCAAGGCTGAACATTTCATAGTTTTCAAGCCCACATGAGATTGCATGAGATTAACAGTATTAGGGCTGTGTACTCAATGGAATGAAAGCCTTTCATTCGAAAATATGGCAGTGCTTTCTTCACTCCATTAGGTTTCTTTCTCATAGCCCCCAGAATTTTTGCCATTCTTCGTGTTCGGATGCTATCTAATGATTATGACTTGTTAAATTTTGCATTTTGCGCATCTCGAACAAAGTCACAAGCTTTCGAAATATATATGCTTTTAGTAATCTTTCCCAACAATCCTAATGCCATCCCAAATGCAGATAACATTCTCACACGAATGAATATGGATTCGACGATCCGNTTTGTGATCAAGTAGTCGCCAATAGTGCCAAGTTTTTGAGACTTTAGCTCAAAATGAAGGAATCCAATAAGCTGTTTGATGACGGGCTTAGGGAGATGCGCGATAGACTTACCTCCACGTGGTGCACCCTGGACAACGTATAATCATACGGCAAAAGTCTACTAACCGGCAGTTGACTTCTGACTCCAAACTACCATAACCCCACTGTATGCCACATTCGACCACTTCCACAGTACTTACCTCCCCTTTTTCTATGCCTTTGTGACTGTCTCTCTCTTACATCTGTGAAACATTCTTCTGTTCCTCCTTTCTACTTTTTCTCACTTTAATGTTCCTCCCCTCTGTGAAGCCCGAAGTCAACTAAAGGGCTAATGATAACTATCAAAACGCCTGCCATTTGATATAAATAAATGACGGGCATATTTTGACAATAAAATAAAAGCCAGAATTCCGAAACACAGTTTACAATGCTCTACCAAATTAAAAATTTAACCGCTGAAATGTTAAACTGTCATCTAAAGTATATCTTATAGAACCGTTTACATTCTCAATAGATGGGAAAAATGAATGGGCAAGATCGACCCTTCCTGATTCAATAACCTGCCAATAGGCAATTCGTATCGAAATCGAGCATTTACTGCAATTCAGGGGAAGAATCGTGAAATCTGTACTTTGGGTCATACAACTCAACTTCAAAAACAAGTGGTACAGTCTGACTCCTTGACGTAGACCTTATTAAGTCGTTGGAAATCAGATGAAAGTGTTCAGTATAAACGCATTCCTTTAAGGGCTCTGCTGTCGTCTAAGACGGTACATGTTGATACTGACGAAATATTTTACCTGCTAGAATATAATAAGTAGAGTTTAGAATTCAGGCACTCACTTGATTAGACGAACCAGTGGGTAAATAACAAAACTAAACTCTCTCCTTCGAACCCTATTATCACTCAAGAAATATGCTATAATAAACACTCGATTAAGTTATGGTTTCGTCTGAACAGAATTAGCTTCAGGTGAGAAATTCAATTTTCATATTACATACAAGGGGTGTGCGATAGGCTTACCTGCACGTGGTGCACCCTGGGCAACGTTATCTCATACGGCAAAGAAGTCTATAAACCGGCAGTCGACTTCTGACTTCAAACTTCCCACTGTATGTCTTATTCGATCACTTCCACCATACTTACCCTACCTTTTCTTTACCTTTGTGTCTGTCTGTCTCTTTTGCATCATTGAATCACTCTTCTGTCCCCCCCTCTCCACTTTTTCCACTTTGGTGTTCCTCCTTCCCTCTGTGAAGCCCGAAATCCGCTAAAGGGCAAATGATAAGTATCACGAAGCCCTCCATTTGAAATAAATATTATATACATATCTAATTACGTTGCATAACGAATTTGTACGCGAATGTGCCTTGACTTATCCTCACCAATCTCCACGGCAAAATTCCCTATTATAGAACGGCTCCCGAAGTTTGCCAAGCTAACTCAACAATATCGATGAAACAAATCGAACGAAGGAGTGGAATGCATTTCTGGAGGTCACAGTGTTTGTGGTTAGGATGTAGGTGGTGTGTTGTGTCATTGTGTTTGCTGAGTGAGGACACTGGTGCAGTGCTTAGTCATCAAATGCGCTTTTTCGTACGATGATCCAGTAATGAATATTGATTGCTGTTTGGGTGGGAGGTCTCTGTGCTCGCGATCTCATTTGCTCCAAATGCAAACAGCAGCAAGGCTGAACGTTTCATAGTTTTCAAGCCCACATGAGATTGCTTACTATAACAGTATTAGGGCTGTGTACTCAATAGAATGAAAGCCTTTCATTCGAAAATATGGCAGTGCTTTCTTCACTCCATTAGGTTTCTTTCTCATAGCCCCCAGAATTTTTGCCATTCTTCGTGTTCGGATGCTATCTAATGATTATGACTTGTTAAATTTTGCATTTTGCGCATCTCGAACAAAGTCACAAGCTTTCAAAATATATATGCTTTTAGTAACCTTTCCCAACAATCCTAATGCCACCCCAAATGCAGATAACATTCTCACACGAATGAATATGGATTCGACGATCCGTCATGGATCCGCCATTATAACTTCAATTTTCCGAAACTATGGGTGGTAGTAATAAAGCCCATATCAACAGTCATGCACCAATGAGTGCTGATCACATGGGCACTAACTTGATTGACAGGCACTTTGATTTTTGACCAATAGCAATGGCCATTTAGGTTAGCATCATAAAACCTCTATTTAGAAATGTGCATTAAGAAATTTCAGCAGCTTCTAGAGGTTTTTCGTCATTTTGTTCATATTCACCCCAAATATGAGGTTTTATAGTTTATCAGTTCATAATTTTTTTGCTTCTCGTCATTATGCATTATGAACCAAATGCATGACCTTTCCAGAAACTAAAACGTCTGGAAAGATACGAACCTCGGAATTAAGCAGGATCTTTCTAAGATGTGTTCTAACTTACTCATTTCCCCCCATACGCAAACAACTTTGGAAACATATCTGAGCGCCTACTGACTAACACTAACTTCTTTCTCTAAAATAGACGCTCTTTGATGGACAAGTGTCATTGTTTCTATTCTAAAGCAGGTAGAGATCAGTTGGAGTAAAGATATGCCAAAGAGAGATTTTGCTTTCAATCCTAATTGGACATCACTGCAAAGGAACACAGTTTATAACTATATGAGTTGATCTATTAATGATGGAAATTAGATCGAGAAAAGTAAAAAATGTTATGCTTGAAATGACATCTAAGACTAATGGCGTTTTGTATAAACCCTGTATCTTTGATGAAATTTAGTTGTTCTGTGGCAGGAAAAATTGATCTCGGTGACCTTTTAGCGGTCTTAAGTACTTCACTTTGTATTTCAGATATTACAAAAATTGCAACTGATCTTTTGATATTTAACCAGCTTTAAAGTTAAATCTAATGGTGTGTTAATATTTCGTTAGGAGTTAAAACGAACATATAAGTACAAAATTTGTGCATCGAAAGAAAAATAGTTAAATCAATACCTCGTAACCTGTAATGACACTATTAATATGCATCAAAAGTAATGGAAATTTAGAGAATTGCGAGTTCTCAACCCCGAGTACTGTAGGAAATGAAGAATAAACAAATAAAATCCTAATCGTAATTGAAAAAAAAATCGAGTCCGACAGTCAGAAAATAGAGGTCGTTGGTCCTTTTGTGAAAGGTAGTTTACTCCACTTTTCATCGTGTATTTTTACTCACCTCTTCCACATTTACCCCATTTATTTGACCTATTCCATTGCTTACAGATAAGTTCCTTTGAGTGAAATTAATGTCATGCATAATTACCATCGACCATGTTAAGACTTGTGGGACACATTATCGCTTTGTGCGTCATCGTATGTCTGCATGCCAGGATTGGGAGGTGCGACCGAACAAACAGGGGCCAATCAGTAGTCTCCATTTGTTTAACCTAATCCGCCATCCAGTTCATGAGTAGCTCCCTGCGCGTACACTTTATCCGCAATATTTATATCAATTGGCAGGAGTTTTGATAGTTATCATAAGCCCTGTATCAAATGGCAGGCGTCTTGATGGTTATCATTAGCCCTTAACAAATGGCAGGCGTTTTGATAGCTATCATTAGCCCTTTAACTGACTTCGGTATGGCAGGCGTTTTGATAGCTATCATTAGCCCTTTAGTTGGTGGCAGGCGTTTTGATAGATATCATTAGCCATTTAGCTGAGTCACTCAATGCCATAACATTTATTTATTTCAAAATATATATATATATATTTATTTATTTCAAATGGTTCATAATGAAGTTTCAATATTTATTTATTTATTTCAAATGGCCGGCGTTTTGATAGTTATCATTAGCCCTTTAGCTGACTTCACGTTTTGATAGATATCAAAAAAAATTATTTCAAATGGCAGGCGTTTTGATAGATATCACTTACTTATATCAAATGGCAGGCGTTTTGATAGTTATCGTTGAGCCATTTAGCTGACTTCGGGCTTCACAGAGGGAAGGTTCGTACTTATATCAAATGGCAGGCGTTTTGGTAGTTATCATTAACCTTTAGCTGACTTCGGGCTTCACAGGTTATCATTAGCCCTTAACAAATGGCAGGCGTTTTGATAGCTATCATTAGCCCTTTAACTGACTTCGGTATGGCAGGCGTTTTGATAGCTATCATTAGCCCTTTAGTTGGTGGCAGGCGTTTTGATAGATATCATTAGCCATTTAGCTGAGTCACTCAATGCCATAACATTTATTTATTTCAAAATATATATATATATATTTATTTATTTCAAATGGTAGGCGTTTTGATAGCTATCATTTGCCATTTAGCTGACTTCAGGCTTCACAGAGGGAAGACATTAGCCATTTAGCTGACTTCGGGCCTCACAGAGGGAATGCCAAAGTAGCAGAAAGTCGAAGGGTTTACAGTGGGAAGGTTCATCAAAGTAGCAGAAAGCCGAGGGGCCTTCACAGAAGGAAGGTTCATCAAAGTAGCAGAAAGTCCAAGGGTTGAGGGAAGGTGCATCAAAGTAGCAGAAAGTCGAGGGGTAGAAGAGGGAAGGTCCATCAAAGTAGAAGAAAGTCAAGGGGTGGGAAAGGAAAATGAACATCAAAGTGGCAAAAAATCGAGAGGGGTAAACAGAAGAGTGATTCACAGATGTAAAAGAGACAGACAGACTGACACAAAGTCTATCACACACCCCAGGGAGGAGCATTAAGAATCTATTTATTTATTTCAAATGGCAGGCGTTTTGATACCACTGTCTATATCAAATGGCAGTCTTTATGATAATAATAATAAAAATGTTATTATTATTATTATTATATCAAATGGCAGGCGGTTTGATGATTAGCCCTTTAGTTGACTTCGTGCTTCACAGAAAGGAAGTATAGCCCTTTAGTTGACTTCGTGCTTCACAGAAAGGAAGAGGTACAGCCCTTAGTTGACTTCAGGCTTCACAGAAAGGAAGATGAACATCCAACTGGTGCTTCACAGAAAGGAAGATGAACATCAAAGTGGCAAAAATCCTTCACAGAAAGGATGAGGAACACCAAAGTGGCAAAAAGTCATACATACAGAAAGGAAGAGGAACACCAAAGTGGCAAAAAGTCGAGAGAGGGGGACAGAATAATGATTCACAGACGTAAAAGAGACAGGCCTTCACAGAAGGAAGGTTCATCAAAGTAGCAGAAAGTCCAAGGGTTGAGGGAAGGTGCATCAAAGTAGCAGAAAGTCGAGGGGTAGAAGAGGGAAGGTCCATCAAAGTAGAAGAAAGTCAAGGGGTGGGAAAGGAAAATGAACATCAAAGTGGCAAAAAATCGAGAGGGGTAAACAGAAGAGTGATTCACAGATGTAAAAGAGACAGACAGACTGACACAAAGTCTATCACACACCCCAGGGAGGAGCATTTTAGCCCTTTAGCTGACTTCGGGCTTCACAGAGAGGAGGAACATCAATATTTATACTAAAAGGGAGGCGTTTTGATAGTTATCATCAAAAAGTGAGAAAAATCAGGGAGAAAGAAGAGCGATTCACACATGTAATAGACAGACAGCTATCACACACCCCAGGGAGGAGCATTAAGAATCTATTTATTTATTTCAAATGGCAGGCGTTTTGATACCTATCATTAGCCCTTTAATTGACCTGGCAGGCGTTATAATAGCTATCATTAGCCATTTAGCTGACTTCGTGATTCACAGAGGGAAGGTTCATCAAAGTAGCAGAAAGTCGAAAGAGGGGAGGAGGAACATCAAAGTAGCAGAAAGTCGAGGGTGAGGGAAGGTTCATCAAAGTAGCAGAAAGTCGAGGGGTGGCAGAGGGAAGGTCCATCAAAGTAGAAGAAAGTCAAGGGGTGGGAAAGGAAAATGAACATCAAAGTGGCAAAAAATCGAGAGGGGTAAACAGAAGAGTGATTCACAGATGTAAAAGAGACAGACAGACTGACACAAAGTCTATCACACACCCCAGGGAGGAGCATTTTAGCCCTTTAGCTGACTTCGGGCTTCACAGAGAGGAGGAACATCAAAGTGACAAAAAGTCGAGAGGGTGGACAGAATAATGATTTCCGATGTAACAGAGACAGGCAAGGTAGAAAAAAGGTGAGGTGAGTACTGTGGAAGTAGTCGATTGTAGAGCAAAGGTGAGGTGAGTACTGTGGAAGGGGTCGAATTTGACATACAGTGGGGTGATGGTAGTTTGAAGTGAGAAGTCGAAGAGAAAAGGTAAGATGAGTACTGTTGAAGTGGTCGAATTTAAGAAAAAAGGTGAGGTGAGTACTGTGAAATGGTCGAATATGGACAAAGGTGAGGTGAGTACTGTAAAAATAGTCGAATATGATATAGAGTGGGGTGATGGTAGTTTGAAGTCAGAAGTCAACTGCCGATCAATAGACTTTTTGCAAGTCAGAAGTCAACTGCCGATCAATAGACTTTTTTGTCTTTGAAGTCAGAAGTCAACTACCGTACAGTGGGGTCATGGTAGTTTGAAGTGAGAAGTCAACTGTAGGTGAGGTGAGTACTGTGGAAGTAGTCGAATATGACACAGTAAGGTAAGATGATTACTGTGAAAGGGGTCGAATATGACATAAGTGAGGTGATGGTAGTTTGAAGTGAGAAGTCAACTGCCAATGGTAGTTTGAAGTGAGAAGTCAACTGCCGAATAATAGATTTTTTTGTCATTGAAGTCAGAAGTCAACTGCCGGTTAATAGAATTTTTTTGCCGATAGTTTGAAGTCAACTGCCGGTTTATAGACTTCGAATATGACATAGAGAAGTCAACTGCCAGTTAATAGATCATGGTAATTGAAGTCAGAAGTCAACTGCCGATTAATAGACTTGGGGTCATGATAGTTTGAACTCAGAAGTCAACTGCCAGTTAATAGACTTACTCATGGTAGTTTGAAGTCAACTGCCAGGTAATAGACTTTAGTTTGAAGTGAGAAGTCAACTGCCGATTGATAGACTTTTATTTGAAGTCAGAAGTCAACTGCCAGTTAATAGACCTTTTCAGTCAGAAGTCAACTGCCGGTTTATAGACTTTTTTGCCGTTTGAGTAGTCAGAAGTCAACTGCCGGTTAATAGACTTTTTTGTGAAGTGAGAAGTCAACTGCCAGTTAATAGACCTTTTTGCCGTATGAGTATACGCTGCCCAGGGTGCACCACGTGGAGGTATGTGCGTTGCCACTCTCAAAGATTTGCCCACGCACAATGAGCCTGCCACACTTCGAAAATCTTTTAAATTACATGAATCCTATCTCTCTCTCTCTCAGGGCTTGTTTACTCCCGAGTTTTTTTCATTTATCTGCATATCAAATCAAGTTTACTTAACAGTTCTTTGTTATCCATTGTTTAATGTTGCTCGGAATATGGAGCTTTCGTCTGAATACCTTGGTATCGCACAAGTAAACTTTTGTCCCTATCAAAAGGAATCCTTGAAATACTGGCTAATAGAAATATCTTTTAAATAAAGTAATGAGTGTTAATAGAACACTCTCGTAAAATACGATTCCCAAGTCGATCTCTTGATTCTTATGGTAGTTCGATCTCAGGAGAGTACCAATTTTATCTATGATGCAATACGGGAATAAATACGTAATTCAATAAAACAAGTATTGGAGACATTTCCTTTTCAATCGAAACCTGCAGTTCTGACCATTTCAATGGCAATAAAAAATGCCCAAATCAGTTTAGCAAATATCCTCGTTTGTTTTACCAAATCCGCCATGTTGTGTGACTGGTTTCCTTCCCGTAAACACTTTATCCGCGATATACGTACTGAATAAACGTGCTCCGTGCTACACGTCTGTTTCCTTTATAGCTGGGCTATAGCTTAGCTGGTTCTGGGAGTCTAGCTAGATGTCAGAGAATCTGCCATAGAGATTTCTGAGTCAGTCAGGCTTTACTAGCGTAGCAATCCGCTACATACTAAAGCTTTCTCTATTTTAAGGAAATATGTGGATGGAAATCGTTAGTTAAACTTGTACTTTAAAATCTCGGGTAATCAGTCTTTCGATTTTCCACCTCTGCCAATTTCCATTAATACTTACGTTATTCAAACAAAATAA